TGAGGAGGGGTGGGATCAAGGTGGGGTGGGGTGGGGTGGGGTGAGGTGAGGTGAGGTGAGGTGAGGAGAGGTGAGATGAGATGAGATGAGATGAGATGAAATTTAATGAGATGATGTGATCTCAACCACTGTGCGTAGGCCTAATACTACCACCCTGCCATTGAGCATGGGCTCACTTGAAAGTTGAGGCTATCTATGTTCTCACTTTCTGATGTAACAACATGATTACATACCCGGATTAAGGTTTGTGTGTGTGTGTGTGTGTGTGTGTGTGTGTGTGTGTGTGTGTTTGTGTGTGTGTGTGTGTGTATGCACGCACCTATGCATGTGGTGCGTATGTGTAAAAGGGGTTTAGGAGGGTGGGAGATCAGTTAGCAGCAGCCTCCACCTAACAGCACTTCCATCATTCATTAACCCTATCTGTACGCCCTGGGGTCATTTTGTACCCTGGGGGTTGTATTGTTCACATTTTAGAATACTTCTAGTACGAAAATCTCTTTGAAACTTTCAATATTTCTCAAAAAATCTTTTTGACAGACTGCTATGCAAAGTGTACGGATTGGATTAACAAGTAAATTTCCTTTTTGGAAAGTGGTGGCACAGAGTTCCCCACGTCGTATGGATACGATAATAAAACACAATGTACTGATAGGGTACAGCATAAGCAGTTTTTACAATTTTACAGGACAGCTAAACAACTGAAGCTTGTTACCAAGATAATAAAAAAATTATTATCAAAATAGTACTCTTAAAAATACTGACTTGGGAAGTTTGCAAATAGAATGTTTTCTTAGTAACAATATTCAGTTGTTTGGTTCTTCTGAAAAGTTGTAAAAACTGCATATACTGTATTTTTTAAAATGACGGCAGCCAAAACTTGCTTCCCAAGGGAGTTTCCGTCAGACAGACCTCGCTGGCTGTACTAACCCTAGAGTGTCCACGTTTGGCTGCCCACATGAGCGCAGTGTTCCCCGTCCGTTTGTCCTTGCAGTTAATGTCCAGGTGGAACTCTTTTCTCTTCTCCAACAGCTGCTCCAACTTGCTGTAGTTGCCATTCTTATACAAAACAAAAAAAGAAATTATTATTAAAAAAACAAAATCAAAACAATAATTTTTTTTTTTAACCCCCAAAAACATGACCCTCAGATAGGGCAGACAGTGGACAAACATCCATCACTAATGAAAAGAGCAGGCTGTTGTTGTTGTTGTTGTTGTTGTTGTTATCAATCCAGCAATAGCTGGGCTCTCGCCGTGCTGTCCAACGCCATGTAGTGATGAGAGCAGATTTGTTGCAGTTGCTGTAATGTTCCGGTGAGAGCAGGCTAAGTCATTTCTTGAACACATCGCTGATTGAGCAGCTTTTAATTGTACTCACTTAGCCTACTCTTTTCCTTAGTGATGACTACATCTCTACTAAACTTGGAGGCTCTATTTTTCTTTTATTGAATTATTATAATTAGAGATTGTCATGAATATTATAATGAAAAAAAAAATCCCCCACTCTAACGACAACCTATCCAAGACAATCACCCGTACAAACGATCACTTCCTACTTCGCTCTTTGCAGGTTTGTCTTTGGGGATTTTTCGCATTGCAATGTCCGTGACATTCACCAATAATAATTATTCAATAAAAAAAAATGTTTAAGCAGAACCCCTTAAAAAATGCAATCACAGAAATTTACACTCATATAGAAAAGGTGTGCGCATTTATTAAAATGAATATACTTTTTGGCACGTCAAAATAAAAAGTTTCCCCATCTCTGCCGTACTGCAAAGCTTCCTCTCCATATCCCCAGATCCTCCAAGTTTTGTAAAGGTGACATCATCGTACTTGGCAGAGTTTTCACAGTAATGTGTTTTTGAATGGACATACAAAGTGTTTTGCCAGAATATATACTTAAGTCTACGGCATAAATGGGGGTGTTTTCCTACCAATAATAATATTATTATTATTATTATTATCATTATTATTATTATTTCAAAAAAACAAAAAACAGAAACGCACAAAAATTCAGGGACAAAAATGTGCAAATCAAACACCTATGATCATAAATGTTGCTCGTTGAGTAAAAATCAACGTTTGAAGAAAAGTAAACAAACAAATAAACGGATTTTTAAAAAAGCAAAACAAGCATACAAACAAATAAATATATAAATAAACAAATAAACTAATAAATTAATCAATACATAAATAAATAAATACATAAAATAAATAAATAAGTGTTTTATTTTCTCATTCCCACCTTGGCAGCGTTGAGAAGCACCAGCTCCACATCCCCGGAGCCCCCGAGTATCGTGGAAGCGATGTCGTAATACTTGGCCGAGTTGCCACGGGAAGAGGCAGACGGCGGACCTCTGCCCTGACCTTGACCCAGCCCACTACCAGCACTACCTTGACCTTGACCTGTCGACGTGATGCTGGTGGAGGAGGTAGAGGCCAGAGGTCGACCCCCGCCCCCGCCCCCTCCCCCGGAACTGCCGGAGTTCATGACCTCTGTCCGGACTGGTGTGACCTTGACCTTGGCTGCGACAACCTCCCCTCTGGGACATTCTCTCATCACAGTCTTCGCTAGGCAGGACAGCAGCTGTCGCAGCGGGCTCACTTACTCCGCCACTCTGAGGAAGGGAAGGAATAGAGATTCGAGATTACGATGTATGTTGGGGGGGGGGGGGTTTGTAAGAGTTTTACGGCACTTGCAACACAGTAAGGTCATATAAGTGTCGAAGATAAGATGTGCTACAAGAGAGTAACAAATACAAAAGAAGGAGTGGAGATAAAGATGATCGACGTTTGATGGGAAAGAAGAAGCAAACCACACCAGAGCACCCGCCAACCGCCCACACGATGTATGTATTCTTCCAGAGAAACGAGGGTGCGGTGGCGGAGCGGTTAGTGTGCTCGTCTCCGAAGCAAAAAGTTCGGGTTTGAGCCTCGGTTTGGACACCGATTATTTTCGCCCCCCTCCTGCCCACCCAGTAGTAACGAGTAACTGACTTTGAGTTGGGGAAGTAAAGGCGGCGTGGAAAGGAACTGGCCACCCTACCACAATATTATGTCGAAGGCCCAGGAAGTTGTCTCACTAACCAAGCAATCTCCAATGTCCGGATCGGATGCGGGAACAACTTTACTTTACTTTTTCTCGGGAAGCCGAGAAAGTTTCTGAGTATTCTCAGAGGATCCGCTCAGGTAAAACGACGGCAGTCACAAACTGGAAATTATGAGGGTGCCAATTTCAAAAGCTTGTGCACTCACAACTTCATATTATTCGTTTGACTGGTGGTTTATTGTTAAGTGTTGTTAAATGTGAAATCTAACAGCAATAATCAACAAACAGTCTGAGTCAACAAGCGTTCAAAATTGGTACCCTCACGATTTTCAGTTTGTGACTACAGTCGTTTTTTTTTTCCTGTAGTCTTCAGTTGTAAAGCCTATAGAGCATGTTGCAGAGCGTGGATGTGCGCGATGTAAATGTAATCATAATTATTATTAATGAGATGTGTTTGTGCTGAGTAATACCCAGAGATAAAATGGAAACAGAGGAAGAGGCAGGCCAAGGAAAAGATGGGGGTCAGAGAAACAGAGAAACATTAAATAAAAACAACATAACAAAGCAACAAGCAATGCAACAAATGCGAGAATTTTTAGCACTTATACGACCTATTTAGAGTTGAAAGTGCAGTAAAACTCTTACTAAAGGTAGTGTATGTGGTCAACAATGCACATACTATAATATGTGAGGTGAGCTGACAAAATGAGCTACGTTTTGCAATCCACAAATGGAGATATTGGCCAAAAATCGACACTAGGGTCGAACTAGTAGATTTTCTATTCATGCCATATTCTTTATGTATAAAATGCCTTTTATTATTTCATACTGACTCATGAATTGCAAAAAAAAAAAAAAATCCCTTATAAGAGTGAAGTATCTATTTCCACATGGCTCGAATCCGAGAAGTAACTCATTTTGTCAGCACGTTTCACATATCTTATTTTTCCTTTTTACATTTCCCAGTCTCTGTAAACTTACGGTGCCGAGGGGAGTAGAAAACGTCTCTCTCTTAGTCCCCCCCCTCTCTCTCTCTCTCTCTTAGACTCTCTCCCCCTATCTCTCTCTCTCTCTCTTAGTCTCCCCCCTCCCTCTCTCTCTCTTCTCTCTCCCCCCATCTCTCTCTCTTAGTCTCTCCCCTCTCTCTCTCTCCCCCTCCCCCCTCTCTCTCCCTCTCTCTCTCTCTCTCGTTTGTTGGCCCTGACGAGGCAAGATAAGAAGCCCGCCTCCTAAATGACGGACAAAAGTCAGTCTATGGGGGAGTAAAGAACACCTACATTAAAAAAAAATCTGCTCACGGATCTGTGGCTGTGAGGAAGAAAGTTCCCTTGATATAGATGCTAATGAAAAACACAACTTAAAACATTAAGAGAGAGAGAAAGAAAAAAAGCCTAAGGGGAAAAAAGAAGCTTGAGTAAGACATAGAGAGAAGCAGAAAGAAAACGAGATAGACAGACAGACAGACAGACAGACAGACAGACAGACAGACAGACAGACAGAGAAACAGACAGACAGACAGACAGACAGAGAAACAGATAGACAGACAGACAGACAGACAGACAGACAGACAGAGAAACAGATAGACAGACAGACAGACAGACAGACAGATAGGCAGACAGAGGGAGGCGTAGAAGGGGAAGAGCACAAAGACACATCCCCCACACACGCCCCACACCCTCAACACCACACACACACACACACACACACACACACACCCCACACCTTCAACACCACACACACACACATACACACACACACACACACACACA